CATGGCAATATGGATGGAGCTCTGTCACAGCACTGCAGCCCCCACTGGACCTCAGGCTGAGGATCCACCACAGTTCTCGATATGATAGGGAGACTGGGTGGATCTTAAAAAAAGGAAATCAAATTTATTTTATTGTGAAGTGTGTATGTGTGTGTGAGAGATTGTGTCTGTGGTTGTGTGTGTCTGACAGTATTTTTGAGGGTCTGTTCACACTAGTACAGAGCGTTAATTGCACAGTCCATTGCGATTACCGCATTGTACCACGCACAAATCGCACCTACCGCAAATTCTGGTGTGGGAGTTGTGTTGCATTGCCATTCATTTGAACGGCACCCCAAACGCATCTCCTGTCCACAGTTTGATTGCCCGCATCGGAACGTGTGGTACCGCAATGCTGTGCGTTCCAATGCGGTGCGACTTGGTTCGCGACTTAATGACCAAGGACAAATGTGGGTCCTGAGGTTACACGGGTTGAGAACCACTGGTCTAGACAGTCACATAAGATCTTCACCGCTAATAGCAACCGGAGAAACCACTCAACCCACGGTAATATTACCAACTTATTCACCAGGGATGGAGGCCCTCACCAAGAAGTACAGAACCTCCTCTACAGATCATGTCCATATCTCTCGTGTGATATTGTACAATAAAGGAACTTTTATTGTATAAAAACCATATAATTGCAGGCTAAACAGCCTGCAAGGCGCCTCCTTTTTTTCTCTTTTGTTTTTTGACTTACTATCTAACAGGACAGATCTGCTCTATCCCTGGAAACGCCTCCTGCTGCAGACTGAGGTATCTTTACTGTAGTTTCTATTGTCCCATTATTTAGGAAACATGTCAAGTGTCATTTAGCCACAATTACGCTTGTGACCTGTTTCTTCAATAAATAGTCAAAAACATTAAACTTTGCTTGAGTGCTGGTTATCTCCGTCTTCTACAATCCTGTATGTGATGGTATACCTACTAGAGTGCTCTGTCCCTCAATAAATATTGTGGATGAATTGGTGAGTACAAAACCTCTTTCAGCTCCCTTCCTCAGGAAAATTGCTACTCATGGCTTCCATGGATGCCACTGATGGGGAAAGTCCCATTAAAGGAGAACTATGGGGTCAGTGTTTTTCCCCATAGTTCTCCTTAGGGTAACGTGAGGACACAAACTAGCGTCCTCCCGTTACCCTAAGCTCAGTATACCGCGAGCTATAGCTCGCGGTATACTGAGACGCCGCACCTGGAGCGGATCCCGACGTAGATGACGGGGTCCGCCCAGCTGCGTGAGTGACAGCTGGCTCTGCCTACCTAGAGGCAGAGCCAGCTGTACCCGCCCCCTCCCCAGTCCGTTCCGCCAGTCAGCGCTGGCAGATCGGAGAGGGGAATCCAGCCCCTCCCCCTGTCACGGCAGAGAGCCGTGACAGGATCGAGAGGTGAGGGAACCCGGTATGTTTTCCCTCACCTCCCGATCTACTGAGCCGACCTGTGACAGTCTCATTGTCACAGGTCGGCTTAGAACTATAAGGTGAGTGGAAATCACTCATCTCATAGTTCTCCTTTTAAATGTAGACTATCGAAGTAACTTTGAGCGTCCTTCCTTGTACTTCGTTCCTTTAAAACATGTTCATCCCCGATATTCAGCCATAATAAAAGCAAATTGAAACCCTCATGGTGCAGTGTTTTACATTTTATTATTCAAGAAAGATTTATTTCAAGATGTGCTAAACGTGTGTTGGCTGTTCACATGCAGGCAGCGCTTGTGGTGAGTGCATAGCCACTGGGGGAGCTTTTTGGGCACGTGGAGGAGCACTATCTAACGGAACACACTGAATTAGCTTGATACCAAGTTGCTGTATCTATCTGCATTGGATTGGGAGGGAGTCACTCTTTCTTTCACTTGAACAAAAGTTTTTCATATTTTCACTATTAATGACTGGACTGTCTTTGGACTGATTATTTGTTTTTTATCCAATTTTTTTTTTTTTCTATGGTGTGATTTATTAACTCATCAGTCCCATATTTTCACTGGCTTTGCACAATTTTATTTGCTAGATTGTATACATTTTACAATATCAATACTATTTCTATTTAGGCAGTTTATATATGCACTTTATGTGCGCACTTCACATCAAGGTTTTGAGCGCTGTACAGTTATATTGATTGAGGTTTGACAGCCTTAGTGTAGCAGCTTTTAACCCTTTAATGCTATTCATCTGATTCCATTAGCGCAGATCATCTACTATTAAATGTAGACTATGAATATGGTGCCATGCAATATATGGATGTTTTTCCTTAAACTTTTTTTTTTTTAACAGCATTGCGGTCTATGATCTTGGAGGTGGTACTTTTGATATTTCAATCTTAGAAATACAAAAAGGTGTATTTGAAGTGAAGTCTACTAATGGTGACACCTTCCTTGGTGGAGAAGATTTTGACCAAGAATTGTTGCAGCATATTGTAAAGCAGTTCAAAAGAGAAGTAAGATATTGTTGTGATTTATATAGTGTCTACTGGTATATAAGTAGGAAATCATGCCTAGTAAACTGGTGGGAATTAAACTGATCTGTAGTTTAGTAACAGTAATTTGTAATTTCTTCATCAAACATCACAGAAAATGTAATTCTTTAGCCATTGGGTTATGCAGCTACCTTAAGTGACACTTGGACACTCGGTCAAAGCTGTAGGAAAGTGGTGCATATCCCCTCCCACTCCCGGGCTGCCTCAGTTTTTTTTTTGCTAGTGTGCTTAGCTGTTGGATGCCTTCTCTCTTCTGCACCATTCTGCAAGACTCTTCTAGCTAGCTGCCCTAAGGCCTGGTTCACACCTGACCGTTTTGTAGCGCGTTCAACGCTCGACGAACGCTCTACAAAACGCTCAAACATCTAAATCCCATTGTATTCAATGGGTCTGGTTCACACCTTGCCGTATTATCGCCCGTCCGAACGCGATACAAAACGGCCTACGCCCAAAGAAGTACATGTACTTAGGGCGTTTTGGTCTCGCGTTTCCATTGGGAAACGGGCGTTTTGTCACCGCGAATCGCGGTAGAAACGCACATATTCAATACGCCTAGGTGTGAACCCAGCCTAATACTGCTCCAGCCCTTTCAGCACCTTCAACAGCTCTCTGGATCAGTTTTTTCTTTTTGACATGATGGCACACCTGATTTATCCACTGAGGTGGGGACCACGCAACCTAATAAAGATTCTGGCGAGAGTTCCCCTCTCTCTGAGAAAAACATTTCTGTTAGTCTCATGCTGGGCTCCCCATCCCCTTCACTGCTAGCATTAAGGGTCCTACTTCCTCTAGGACACCCTCTATGACAAAGCCTTCTTGCCATAGTTTAAGAAGTCCTTTCACATGTTTCAAGCCCAAATAGTGCATGTAGTTCTGTCACAATGCCTGGTCCACCAAACCCCTCTTAAAGCTGGGAGCAAACACACTGCAATGGGGGGGCACGCATCTTTTCAGCCTTCTTAGCACTCTAGGTGAGGGACATTTCCAATGCCCGGATTCAGTGTTGTAGCCAAAGGTTACAAATTGGAATTTCGCTACCTGCCCACTCCTAGTTTCCTTCTATTCAATTTACCCACATCTCCTGGAAGGGGAGCAAATGGGTTTGCCCTGTCCTAGGCCCAAAGATCCTTAACTGGTTCCTGCAGGTCCAAAAGTTCTATATTATACCTGGCCTGTCATTGCCTCCCCAGGAATTGGAGACTGGCAAGCAAAAAAACAAATCTTAAGACCAGCCCAGGATCACCTCTCCTCTATTTGTTATTTTTTTTTCCTCTTCTTTTTTTTTAAATTTTTACTAGTGATCTAGAGAAATTTACTTTTTTTTTTTTGTCCTTAAGCTCTGCTTGGAAAAGTCTAACCAATTTTTGCTAGACTTTTTTTTTTTAATTTTTCTTCCATTGACTTTAGTCACGATTCTTGACTAAATCCTTGCTCGAGCAGTTAACACGGCAGCCATCTGGGTTGGTCTTTCCTCAGCCACCAGGAGCACTGTAGCTAGCCCCAGCTGGACTAGATGTATGGGGTAAGCCTGAAAGTTACTTTTTGGGCACTGGGCTCCACTTGTGGCACTTTCCAGACAAGTACTAGTACTTGTACTTGTACTTGTACTTGTACCCCAAGCTTCAGAGTGCTTTCCAGGACCAGCTGCATCATCGCTATGCGGTTGCAGCATGTCTGCATCTAGACCGAGGTCATCCGCTTATACGGGTGACCTCCACTCTCACACAAATGCTGGGGATGTAAAATCTGTCCCCACTACGGGCAGTTATGTCTGTGATCTGAAATCCAGTGGCCCTGTGGTATTTGGCCCTTCAGCAGTCTCACTATCAAAACCCCCATACCCTGTTGTCAGGGGCCTCTACTGCAGTTGCAGAAGACCAATTCCCCAAGCCTTTACTTGCAGAATCAATTTCTGATCTTCCCATCATATTTGACTGGTGGCCCAGCCTCTTCTCTTACCTTCTCCCATCCCCCATAGTTTATCTCTGAGATTGCTCTTGAGGCAACAGACTCCTGCTGTCACCTCCAGGATTATAAAAGGTGGTTTAAGCACTTATTGATGCAGTACATGCTACCTTGCATTTAGAGGATCAGTCTGCTGTCTCCAGCCTTGGGTTTCTAGAGCTCCTACAGCTGAAAAAACCTTTCTCCTACACATGCTGTTGGAGGTATTCTTCTGTGTCCACTGGTAGCGCCCTGAAGGGTCCTGGGCCCCACCTGAAATTGTTGGAATGCTTTACTTTTTGAGAGAACTTAATTGGCAGTCTATACCAAAGTGGATCCACCAGTAACCCACCTTAAGAGCAATACTAGACAGGTAGAGGATGAGGTTGTGCTTGTCTTTTAAGCATTGTACTGATCAGCATCTGGAATCTCTCCTAGTTAAATCCTAGTTTTCTCTGGCAGGTTCTGCCCTCCAACTTGTTTTGGCTGTGCACCCAATCTGCTAAACTGTGGCAGAATGGGTTAGGTTTCTCAAAAAGGAGCTTTCTACCTCTGGGGTGGACCCCCCTTACTAATATAACATTCTTACAACAGATGTCTGGAGACTTACACTTGAGTTGTGAGATCTTGTTTCATCTTGTGACCCGATTGGGTCTAATGTCTATACAACTGCGCAAAGCCCTCTGGCTATGCTGTTGGGACACAGATGAAGTATCCAGGGAGTGCCTGACTCACTTTATTTGCCATCTCTTCTCTCCTACGATTTACATCAAGGATTCCTTAAAAGGCAGGAGCACATGCTTCAGTGTAAAAAGTTAAGGGAAAGGTCGAGTGTCTCAGCCTTCTCAATCTGCCCCAGTGAAGTGAATATGACCCGGCTTGCTAAACCTGTTTTTCAGTCACACTGCAAGGTGGGAAGCAAGAAACTTGCTAAGACCTCAGAAGCCTTCAGCATGAAATCCCTCACTTTTCCAATTGGGGGAAATTTTTCTAAGCTGATCCATTCTTGGGTGGCTTTCCCCTCAGGCATTCATGTGCAGAGTTCCCTTTTGGGCTTACAAGGGAGCCTTGCCTCTGACTCTGACATTCTCTTCAGCTGCTCACACTACTACTCTACTACCCTGTGCCATCTCCCAGATTACCAGGTCTTCCTCTTCTTTAGTTCTCCTAATCTCTGTGTCCCTTGTTCTAGTCCCCGTGTCAGCTTGACCTCTGGAGTACCCTTACGGGGCACCACTCTCAATTTACCTCGGGGTGAGTAAGGTCATCAGTGGAATCTGGTACCCCTCAGCATTTCCCTTTTCCAGAAGGACTCCCTTACCCAACCGTTCATCTGGATCCAGCTGTGGCTGTGCTTTGCTCTTACAGGGATAAATGCCCTGTTTCCCCGAAAATAAGACCTACCCCGAAACTAAACCTAAGACCTTGTACTTTTTTGGGGAATTGCTAAAATATAAGACCTACCCCAAAAATAAGACCTAGTTGTGACCATTCCCAGGGCCGGTGGTGGCATAAGGGGGAACTTGAAGAGGCAGGAGAGAATCAGCGGTGCCAGCGCTAGAGGAAGCAAGGCGGTCCGGGGGGAGCAGAACTGCATAAGCCAATGCTTCCTCTATAGCGCCGGCTCCTATCACAGGCGGAGTGATGCCAAATGCACTCCGCCTGTGAGGAATCGATAGTGAAAGTGCGCTTCGCTCATTCTGGCCAGCGATTGGTTAGCAAATTTCTCTTGGAAAGGTACCGCACCCCTGATTGCCCTGATCACCATATTTTTGTACATGGTTACATGTAGACTTTTCTACATGAATCTGTGGATTGTTGTACATTAAAAAAAATAAGACTGTGTGTGTGTGTTTCCCCCACGATTGCAGTGGCTGGAGACCCTAGCAGCCATCACCACTGAATGACTTAACACATGTAAGATCCAGACTGACCTGGCTTTATCAAGATTCAGCTTTGGAAAATGACTTGCACTTATTGGTGGTGTAAACAAGCATAGTTCCTCACTAGAACCCTTTTGTCCCCTTGTCTGTAAACGGGGAGCAACCCCTCTCCACTTTTGCAGGAGCATAAGGTGTTTAGGTGCCTTTATCTTAGTGGCACCTTTTAGTCTACCTCTGCTCCTTTTCCCTGTAGTTGTGGGTTGTGTTTTGGTATGGTCTCTGGGGAACAGGTAGTTCCTGGCAGATTCTACAGGGAGCCTCTTTCACTGGAGAAATTATAATTGGGCTGTGTTCTGGTATCCCAGAACAGGCGGTGCCTGCTGCATTGTGGTATTCTGCTCTGGGTAGGTCTACCGGTGTGAACACTTTGGAACACCTATTTGGGTCCTTCTTCCTTCTAGGAAGTCTTTCACTTCCTAGAAGGAAGTCTTTCCTATGTTGGAAAGTTAGTCTGAGTATGGTTGTGGATTATGCCATGGGTCTTAGTCCTTCCCATGCGTATCCCCTGGAAACCAATTATTCCCACTTGGTAGCTTCTGGGTGTGAAGGTGAGGTTCTTGCACCTAGGTGCATCTCAGACCCTGTCTTGTAGATTAAGAATTTGAGTGGGCCTGAAATCTCACTTGGCAGAACAGAGTAATCTTTTGCTGCTGGTATCCTCTGTTAGGAACTGGGAATTTAAGATATTCTGTAGAACCTGTGCATCTGGTGTTAGTCCTCTTTCCATTCTGCTGATCTGCAGATTTGCGTAGGAGGCCTTTCTGGCAACATTGCCTGTTCTAGATTTTTTTTCAGGTGAATGTTCTTCCCTGTCCTGACAAGACTCCTGTTCTCTGTACCAAGGACCCTTTTGCTTCTTTAGATTTGGAAAGTCTGGAGCATTTTTTAGCCCTGTGACTCTTGCATTTAAGACTAGGTAGGATCTCTTTCTCTAGTTGTCCTTCCAGGACAGCACATGGGAGCATGACTCCACTCCCAGAGGCAGGAAACACAAAGGCTTTTCTGGGGCTTCCGGTTACATCACTTCCGGTCCAGCGGCGGAAGATGCTATTTTCGTCCGGAAAGCAGAGACTCATGGCACCCTTGCTAATTTCTCCACTGCGCTCTCTGCAGGATGATCTCCACAGAAGAGGGAGCGGTGGGAGTGACAAGCTTTGGCAGCACTGGCCAGGCTCAAGTAAAGAATTTGTGCGGTGGTCATTGATTCTTACCTGACTGGGGCGTGGTTGGCGTGTGTGTAAAGGGACTTGTTTTTATACAGCTTCCTTTTTTCTTTTTGCTAGCCTTCCACTTTATTCCTGTCTGGCTAATAGTTGGTGTTGGGCTCACAGCCTGTTCCTTTGGCATAGGTTCTCAGGGGTGGAGTGTGCCCCAGTCCTCTAGGTTCTGAAAGTATTTTTTTCTATATCTTCTTTTTTTTTTTTTTCCATTTTAGTTTAACTTTTTTAGTTTAACTTTTTTAACCTTTTTTTACTTAATTGCTGGGAGCAATAGCCAGCCTGCTATTGGATATTTCAAATTGCAATAGCAGGCTGGCTATTGTACCCGTCCACTGCCTGCTGTCAGCAGAGGAGGGACCTGAAGAAAGTTCTCCATCAGATACTCCTGAGAGCAGCCGCAATCGGAGGGGACACAGACCAGCCCCAGCAGGGAGGAGAGAAGCTAGGGATGTACCGTATTTTCAGCCGTTTTGGTACAATCGACATTTTGACTGAAATTTCAGTGCATCCCTGCATACTATTGAGGCTAACACTTCAAAAATGCATATAAAAAAATGGTTGATACCCTTCTAACGACATGCTCTATATGTAGTATAAAACATGTATGTTTCTTTTAAAGACTGGTGTGGATCTGATGAAAGACAACATGGCTTTACAAAGAGTGAGAGAAGCAGCCGAAAAGGCAAAATGTGAATTATCTTCATCAGTGCAGGTAGTTTTATTTTTTCTAATTTAATAAACATTGTAATGTCCTACAATAACTTATCATATGACTTAAAAAAAATAAAAATTAATTACCTGTGTATATGCAGACTGATATTAATTTGCCATACCTGACTATGGATGCTTCGGGCCCAAAACACTTAAATATGAAGCTGACTCGTTCTCAGTTTGAAGGGATTGTGGCTGAATTAATTAAAAGAACGATTGCGCCAAGCCAAAAAGCTATGCAAGATGCAGAAGTCAGCAAGAGTGACATTGGGGAAGTTCTTCTAGTCGGTGGAATGACCAGAATGCCAAAGGTAAGCTATAAATTGCTTGGGTATAGAAATATAAAAGTTTTAGATTCAGACTGGGCATCTTTAAATTCCTGCTGCAGGAATACCAGATTTCCCCTTTAGATGCTGCTGTACCCATTACAAGTTAATGACTGGGTGACAGCAACCACATCTTTAAGCAGCAGTCTGCATGTAATTGTAAGTTACATGCCGTTTGGAATGGGTTACTGTCCCTGGACACAGGATAGATACGTGATCTATTCAAAACTGTGTGTATTGCATGCGGACTGACACAGCTGCAGCCATGGTCACCTAGACACTAACTTGAATGAGCACAGCTGGAATGCCTGCTGCAGGAATCCTAAATCGCCCAGTGTGAATGAGGCCTTAGATTTTGGTTTAAGTAGTTGTGTAAACTTTTTGTAATCTTATCTAGCGCTTTACTTTAACCCTTTCCCTGCCAGCGCTGTAAGGCAAACGGCAGAATAAAACCTACGGCGGAACTTATACCAGAACTGTTCCCCAGACAGTCTCTGTTTAAATGAATAGCGGTCATCAGTGGCTCACAAGCCGCTGATGACGGCTATTAACAAAAAT